TTTGAGGGGTTGCCACCTGTTTTATAATACGAATTTTTTTAACTCATACACAAGCTATATAAAAGAGTATTAAGAAATCCTTAGTTTACACATTTCGATTTCTTTTTTTTTTGGTGTTTGAAGAGGGTTGCCACCTGTTTAAATGGTGAGACTAACATTATTTATTGAGTTAAGTATATCATTAAAAGATGAGTAAAAATCGAAATAGGCTTCAAAAGGCTTTTAGTCGGTTAAGACGTCTTCATAGGGTAATCTGAAGTTTGCCCCTGTACGACACGCCTTAACCGTCTTCAATCGGGACCAAAATTTATATGTGATATCTTGGACTACATATAGGAGCATCGACGTAGGGTTTGAGGCTAAAGAAATCTGATGTAAAAATTTCCTTCCAACATTAAAGGACCACCCTAATGTACACTGAGCCAAAAGTACAATGGTTTTTTCAACCAAGTTATTGTTTGTGATTCAACATTTGAACACATTTCGTATGTCTGGCTGTTAGCTTCCAGCAGCTTCGGGTTCGAATGCTGTCTGCGGCAATACATACATAACTTTAATATTTTATTTTCTGTTTTTTTTTTTTAATTACGAAAAAGCATAAAACGACGAAAAAAGTGTATTCAAGTTAAATATTTGAAGACACAATTATAAAGCGGCAGAAACCGAGTGCGCACAGATGCTTTGCTGTTATTTGCTAACTTTCAGGAGATGCGGGTTGAGATCCTGTCCGAGGCAACGGGTTAATTCCTTTTCAAGCTTGAATTTGGTAATACTAAAAAAATTTTTGATGAGTTTTTTCTCAGTGTATGTATACCCACATCATTACTAGTGCATATGCACCCAACTCCAACAACTGGCAAAAAAAAGTACAAAAGAGTTAACTAAACATTCAGCGAAATCTGCTGACAGTGAATTCGCCTGTTATTACTAAATAAATAATTGTGCAAACTTGCATGTATGTATGTATGTATGTATCTTTACAAATATACTTAAATGGAAAGTTGTGATGTTCGTTAGTGCTACTTTTTAAAATTTTTTATTTTCTGTGTTTTGTAAAGTTTCCCGTTGAAAATTCAATTTGGCAGCTTAAAATTTTACACACGCTTACGCATTGCATTTCGCTTTTTTGTCAGCTACTTTGATTTTTGAATATAAATAAAAAATTATTCATATATAAGCCACCAAAGTGTTGGAAAAGTGATAGGATGGGGTGACGCTATGAAGTGCTGGAAATCGCAAACTTCATTACAAATGCCTTATTCATCTATCTATTTGGCTCTCATCTTTAACAACTCTTAATTGCTTGGTTTTTTCCACCACATTTCTATTCAATATGTATGTAGATGTTGTGGCTTCACTATCAATTTCTTTGTTGTTCGTTGCGTGAAAGTATCAGACTTGTTAGGCAAGCAGAAACTAAATTTATCTTTGATAGGTTTTTTGTCAGCTTCGCTAACATCTTTTGCAAGATTTACATAAGTAATTATGATTGTGAATTTTTTTTTATTGTTAGCCATTATTCATGATAATCACTAACAGTGACAGTAGTAGTGTTGCAAAATACTAAATATATAGTTTTGCTACCAAGCCTGAAAACCTGTCGCTTGAATTAATTATAGGAATTTTTTTCGTCATCAATTATGCTCTGCTACATAATTCAATTTATCAGTACATGGTGGGTTAAATACATATGACGTTAAATTTGAACTGTATTTGTGAGAGTTTTGACCTAAGAGATTGTGGAGCTCGGTTATTGTAGACGCTTTGTTGACTCGGAAGATTGTTACGTATATATGTTATAAGGTAGAGCTTTTAGCTAGCACTTTATCTTTATCGCGTTGACGATTGTCTTGCTTCTTACTTGATCGGCAACTCGATTCCAGTTTTGCTTCACGTAACTGTTTGAAATAACTGTTTGATCTACCACATATTTTTTTTCAAATTTGGGTGTATCCCACATCTACCACACAAGGCTTAAAATCTACCACATTTTTAGACAGAACATTTGTTTAAAATTTTCACATAACTCTAAAATTTCAACTCAATTCTTATACGAAATATAAAAATTAAACAATAAATTTAAAAAAAAAACACATCATAAATTTTGCTTTAAATATATCTGTGCCTTAACTTTTTAATATTTCAAAAATTCGCATTTTTATATTTGTTAAAGTATTATGCAATGGAAAAATAATTTGGTCGATTTTTTTGCATAAATCAATCCGCAGGATTTTTCTTAAATTAATGATTAATTTTTTTCTTCATAGTTATATTTATTATCTAACTAGAAAACTAATGTTATACTTGTTTTTGCATCAATTGCTTTGAATCTGTACGATCCACTAGCACTTATATTTCCCGATCTAATTTTTGAGTTGTGCCTCTTTTGACGACGGTGTGCGATATGTATGTATACCTAATGTGACCAACTATTGCATATCTCAAAGAAGTACAGCTTAGGTTGGGTTAAGTTAACTCCGCGAGCCGATTACGAAATTTTGAATGCGGCAACCGACAACTTTGCTACCCTTTCCTCAATGTTAGGCTTCCACGACAGCCGCCGTTGATCGCCCACCTAGATACCTGGTTCAGGTAACCTTAAGCCAGATCGAAAAGGATGTATAGAAATGGTTCCTTAACCAAAAGTTCCACATCATCTACATAGACGATCACCCGACAGCCCACTTTTTCCAGTTCCTCTAGAAGGTCATTTACAACCGCAGTCCTGAGATCCTATTGACTCTGCACCGTGTGCAGACGCTCACCCACTCCGCCATGACAGTTCTGTCACGAAGTAAGCTGTAGATAAGCCTTATTAGGTTGGTTTCAACCCCTAGATTATGAATATACTTGACTATTTCCTCTGGAGTGACATTGTTGAATGCCCCTTCGATATCGAAGAGAGCTCCTACTGCATAATCTTCATGTGTGGAGGCTTCCTCTGACCACATTACCAATGTGTTCAGGGTGGTAATCACCGACCTTTTCTTGCAATAAGCATATTGAGCTCTTGAAAGACAGTCACGAGGAATCACTTTTCTTATGTACAGGTCTATCAGTCTCTATAGCGCTTTTAGCGAAAGCGTTTTTAGCAAAAACGAAAAATCCCTAGGGGAAACAGGAGAGCCCTTTCCGGCCATGTGACGATCGTCCAGAAGATCGGAGAAGTACAGGACCTGGAGGGGTGATTCTGTAACCAGTTAGCGACAATTTTCGAATCACTGTCACACTTTTTCACGCAAAAACATTTATGTCATACGAAGTACAAGAGCGAAAAAAGAAGTACTGTACTTCCGAAAGAAAGTACAGTTTGTCACATTATGTATACCCAATAAAAATATGAATTGGAAAATCCAGGGTTAAAACAATAAAATCTAAAAATTTTAATAAGAAAAAAGAAAAGTTAAAAAACAAAAAGAAATAGTTTTTAAAAATTAAATTAAATTAAAAAATATTTTTCTTTTTAAAACAATAAAATCTTAAACTGAAAAATAAACTAAATTAAAAAATAAAGTAATTTAATTTAAAAAAAAATACTTTAAATAAGTTTCTAAAATTTTAATTACGTAAATTATTATTTGATTTTGAACGAAGAAAATCTAGAAATTCAAAGAAATTTAAACAAAAATTATATGAAATAAGTTAGCAATAAATAATATATATGTTTTTAAACCAAGCTTTCCCGTATGGACCAAATCGGACCAGGAAAACGTTTTTTTTTCAAATATCTCGGGTTATGAGCCAGGTTTGAAGTTTAAAGTCTCTAGCTCATCGGAAAGTTGGTTAAGTATTGATTGCAAAATAGAAGGCCATACGGAAAAATAAAAAAACGTCCGCCGCCATGGGATTCGAACCTCAGATCTATAGAATGGCACGGCAGTGCTTTTCCACTCGGACATTTCGACTGTTGGAGTAGCGCGAGCAAACTGATAATACGCAGCAATTCTGGCAACTGTATTTAACCTCACCACAGTCATTCGAAAGATAAAAGTATTTCGTAAGACAGTTGTCTATTCTGGAAACTATCTTAAAAGCTCTTTACTCTCTTTGGAAAGATCTGCTAAAGAGGAGGTCTTCTTAGCATTATGCTGTTCGCCTTTTAAGTTTTTTAAATTAAATTAAATTTAAAAGAAAACATTTATACTTCTCTTTTTAAAACAATCAAAAGTAATAAATAAAAGAAATTTTAATATAAATTTAAAAATTAAAATAAAGCGAAAATAAATAAATAAATGGTTTTAAAAATTAAATGAAATTCAAATAAACGTTTTTCTTTTTATTAATTGAAACGAAAAATATTTAGTTTGAAAAAAAGAAAAAAAAAACGACTCGAACTCATGATCATTCGAACGGCATGCCTATGCTCTGCTTACTTGGCCATTGCGACTGTTGCGGCGACGAGAGCTAAATGACATACAAGTGCTTTCTTTAAAAATAGCTTTTCACCACGAGTGGTAAATGAGAGAGCTTTTATCTAAGACTTTTGTACCAGAATAACAAAAGTCTTTCGAACTATCTTGCCATCTGTCATTTCGTTTGACTTACGAAAGATTATTTACTGTCTTAGCCAGAATTTCCCTGTTAATCTTCATTTCGAGGATGCCCAAATGCTTTCTGTCAAAGAGCTTTTCACCACGAAAGTTGGTAAGTAGCTTTTTTTGTAAGACTTTCGGGCCAGAATAAACAAAATCTTTCAAAATACCTTGCCTACTGTCTTTCAGTTATCTTACAAAAGACTTGAAACAATGCAGAATTGCCCTGTAACTTTCCTTCTTTTGGTTAGGGCGCTATTGAGTTTATTAGCAAGGTCAATTGTCACAAATGCCCTTTCCATGACAGTCCACCACGTATGTAAGTATATATGTAAGTACTCATTAGTAATACGATATTTAATCACCTAATTAATGCAAATCTGAGTTTCAAATACCTTCATACATAATATATGTATATGTATGTAGATCTTTAATTAAATATGTATAATAATTTCATCATTCACTCACCTTCATTGACATGTCCACTCTTTGGTAATGCTTCAGCTTTTGTAAAATTATTCATTTTTCTTCACTACACTTTTCACTTTTCGCCGGTGATGAAGAACAAAATAAATAAAACAAATCTCCGTAGGCTAGCATAAAAACTTGTACGTATTCAACTTAATATGAGTATCTTGAAGAGAAACAGGTTAAAAACTGGAATACAAAAATTTAAATGTTGTTGATGAAGTAAGAAAAAAAATGTAAAAAAAATCACATTCATTAAGAAGTTTTATATGTAAACGACAAACGCGATGCTGAGTAGCGTAGCATTGGAGAGCGGTTTAGCTCAAGGACGAATGAAATGTTCTCCACTTCGTATGCTGCTTAGATGCTAATCGTCACGAGAATACATATGTACATACATATTTACACTTCCAGTGTTTTTAGTTATGAGAGTATGTGCCCATTAAATATTTCCGACTTGTTGAAAGCTATCACTCACAAGCACGGTTGCCATTTGTTTAAAAAATAACCAACCAAAATCTGAAGGAAAAAACAACCAAATTGAAAACAAAAAGCAACGAAATTTGTTATCCACTTATCTATTCGGCCCTATCTCGAATTTCACATGAACAATATTCCCAAAATTTATCAATTAAAACTATAACAAGTTTTCCCAATTTGTTTTTGTTTTGCACGTAAAATTATGGGAACAATTTATTAACTTGGAATTGACCATAGGGCTGATTACGAAAAGCAAAACTTATTACAAAAAAAAAATTAAACAATTTTATTGAGCTTGAACCCGATTTTTTTTTAATAAAATTTTTGTGGAAAAACAACATTAACTTACATTTTGGAAGAAATTAAAAAGAAGTTAAAAGGAAAATGTAACATTAAAAATATAAATTTGAAAAACTTATTTATTAATTTTTGGCATCCATTTGCTAATTTCTAATTTGAAAAAAAAAAACAATCAAACCAAAGAAAAAACTACCAACTAACCAAATTGAAAAAAAAAAAAATAAAATAAAAAAAATAAAAACCAAGTTTGTTTGGAAACAACCAACAGTGGCAACCGTGCTCACAAGCGAGTGAGCGCAAAAGCAGGGCGGCTTAAGCTGGATGGAATGAATAGAAGGCTTTTAGAATTGTATTTTGTGTATTTTAATGGATGAGTAGGGTATGTATTAGTATATGTACATATGTATGCATGGATGTGTACAACTTCTGCATAGCAAACCAGGTGTTTGCTGGAAGCCGCAATTCAAGTGTTTTTTACACAATCTTTCAAATTGGAAGCAACGATAGAGCTGCTGTTGATCTAAATCTGTATTTGTATATGTATTTATGTACTTATGTACGTTAGGGTGACCAAAAAAAATATATATATGTTTTGAAGCCAACTGCCACAACTGAAAAACATCAATCGGCATTTTTATACCCAAGCGCACTTGTGCACTTTCTTCACATAACGCTTGTTTGTAAAACTGCTGAGAATGAAAAGACAAATCGATTAAGCCGTAGATAGATAGATAGTTGCTTATGGCACTGCAACCGGTAGGTCTACATATTTTGCCCTCAGCTCATCACAACACCTCGACTAGCCCCAGAGACTCTAAAAATTCCATAATAGATTTCGGAGATAGGGAGTGTACATATGTGCTCCTCACTTGGCCACAGGTGCCCTATACTCCTATTCCTCCTGCGTGCAACGGTCTCACACTCCATAAGAAGGTGAAAAGGCGAAAGCGGCACAGATCGCTGGACCTAATTTATGCAGGTGCCTTTTTAGCCTGCAATGGCCCGTCAAAAAACTTGTAATAATTCTTAATTTCTCCTTGGGGAGGTCCATAAGTAACCTGTATCTATTCAGTCCCCTCAGTTTAGTACTTTCTCTTCTGAGCATTGCCTTTATGGTGTTGAGCCGCACTGCATGGAAGGGCTCAGGTCCTATCGGGGTCGAGGCTGCGGCCGTTCTGGCTAACTTAGCAGCTTTCTCATTTCCCTCGACCCCCATGTGCCCTGGTACCGAAATCAATTGAACATCACTTACCTCAACCAGAGCATTAAGTCTCTCTACACACTCCAAAACCAAGGAGGACTCAAATGATGAGAGAACCTTGATAGCCGCCTGACTATCGCTCGCAGTAAGTATACTCTCGCTTCAATAATTTCTTCAAAAGTTAATCTCAGCACACAGACTTGTGGCATCGACCCCCTCTTGAAAGATGCTAGGGAAGGTTCCCAGGGGCACCGAAAGCTGCAGTCTAGGGCCATACACGCCTGCTCCAATATCCTCAGTCGTTTTGGAGCCGTCAGTATGGCACTTGAGTGTGGTCGCCTGTAAGTGACTCTCCATAATGGAGATACTCCAGGCCGCCTTGTTATAAGTGTAAGTCCTGACGTTTCTTTTGAAGGCCACCACTCTGTTAATTTCGTCCCTGGGGAACAGAACTAAGGGGGAGCTGGGAACCTAGCTTGTCCCTGTTAAGCCGTGACTGTAAGTATTTCTGCGCTAAGAACCGACGGTATTCAAAATGGGCCAAATCATACAAACATCACGCCCACCCCCCATGTAACGGTAGGTTGAAGAAATACATAAACTGCGATACTACTAACTACTAAAGCTTATTCACTCAAAATTGACATTTACAATTCTCTCTTGGGGAAACGAAGAATATTATAAATTTTTGGATTACAAGTGCATATATCGGTAACGGCTCACAGTGATTAACCGTGGTACAACATAGAAAATGGTTTAAAATATTTAAAATCGGATATTACGCAAGCCCACATCTCATGTAACGGTAATTTAGAGAAATTCGAAATCTACGCTAATTTACTCAAGGTTTATACTCAAAACAATCTCTAAAAGCTTTCACTTTTAGAATGTATTTATCGTCCTTTAACTGACCCTATACCCCGTTTTTCTCTATCGGGAGGGTATTACAGTCAAACCTAGATATAACGAAGTTGAAGGCGATGAATAAATACTTCATTGAACTCATAGTTGCGTTATATTTATAGAATATCAAGATCTCGATACAACAAAAACTTCAGAATTTTTAAAAATCTTTATAAATACATATATCGTCGTTTAAAGTACAAAACCGGGTATCGTTATTCTGCAAAAGTGACACTTTCTGCCAAAAATTGGATTTGCTCACACAAGCTCTTGGCTCAATCCTTATCCATTCGTCCTGAAATATCCACTATCCAGAAATGCGATTGCTTTTTAAAAAATAGAACCATTTTTAAATATGAGTGTTTTTACTCTCTAGAAAATTATTTATGCAACATCACATACGCGGTTTTGCATTATCTTCGCTGGGTGGAGGTTTTTGATTCGACACTTCGCCATATATAAGCTTTTGCCAACGGGACTTTAACCGTCAATATATCTATTAAGAAGGTTTTCATGCTCCTGTATGGAAAATTTTTAAACAACGAAGTTTTTCATGGCACTTAGCCACAATTTTGTTATATTGAATTTTTCGTTATATCGAGGTTTCACTGTATATCGAAGTTTTCCCTTTTTCCATTTTCTATAAGTAAGGGGAGTGGAAGCATCAAAATTCCAAAAAAAAAATTAGATTTTCCTGTGCCTTTTTGGCCCACCCTAATGTTAATATGTACATATGTACTGGTACATATGAGTATGCTGTATCAAAAGTGTCTATTACTGGCTTGTCGCTTGTGCGGCGATTATGTTGTGTTGATTTGGTTTTAATGGCACACTTAAACAAACAAAACCAACAAAAAATTGTTGTTCTCTTTCAAAAATTGCATGGCATTTCAAACATGCATATGTACATATGTATGTACGTACATATATACACTATCTGTATATACAGAGCTCTTTTAGTCCACGCCCGTCTATAACTTTGCACTTCACGCTTCTTGCACTTTCGCCAGAAAATTTCGAGTTCACTAAATTTTTTTTTAACTTTTACGTTTAATTTAATGTTGTACTACATATTCGTGTGTGTTATTTTATAGACTGCTCGAATAACGGTACCAAAGTTTTTACTACTCTTTCGCGGTTCCGACTCCACGCCCCGGTCCCTACACGCTTGGCAACTCAGCCGACGAATTTTTATTTTTTTTTTTGTAAAGAAAATAACAAACAAAACGCAAGCATTCGTATTGCCTCCGCACAAAAATTCATCCAATCAACGGCGTATGGTTTTCAATTAATTTTAATTTCAGCACTGAACTTTTAACTCGCACTAGACTTCAACAAAAGCACCGAGCAAAAGAGAAAACATTTGAAAATGTCGATATAAAAATTATTCGCACTCACAATAAATGCATTTATTTCAATATAAATTTGTTCGGTAGACTCAAAACTCAAACGAAATCTTAAATATTTTTCGCTCTACAACTGCAACGCGAAGCAGTTGCATTCCTTGCTGTTTGTCGTCCGTTGCTCGAATGCACTTTGTTTTACTCGCCAGCTAATGCGTTACTATTTTCCCTGTTGTGCTGCCACTTCACTCACTCACTTACACGTTTGTAAAACAAATGGTCGTCGACGTTGGACGGATGCCTGGCCAGCCCGTTCAACACACTCGCATACAATAATTGCTTTGCTTTGCTTTCTTGCACACTTTCCGCCGCTCTGCGCACACCTTTTGCACCAACAACTTCGTAAACGTTGTATACTTAACTCAACACCAATCTACGTACGCGTACCAAGCCAAAGTGTTTGTATAAACAATGCAAAAACAAATATGCACATGAGTATAAATATATGTACATATATATACATTGCTATTGGAAATTGTGTTGTTGGCCATGCTTAGTATAGTACTCAAAAATTGAGCGCTCGGAGAGAGTGTTTATGCCCTGGAAATACTTCGGAGTTACCATATTTTTTAATTTTTTTTTGTTGTGTAAACATCTATGTACGGCTTGGCAAAGCCTTGGGGGCTTCAGTTACGCCCATAAATAGGTTAGACTAGGTTAGGTTAGGTTAAGCATTAAATGAAATTCATTTAATTTTATTCATTTTGTTGGGACCAGTTCTCGACTTTTTTATAACCACGTCAGTATTAGTTTCGAACTACCCGGAAATGATTCCGAAGTAGTACCCAAATTGTCCTAAAGTGGATCTGAAAAAGTCGTAAAGTATCTCGAACAAGTCTTAAAACGGTCCCTTACTAGCCCCAAAATGATCCAAAACTAGTCCCGACACGTTCCCGAAATAGTCCTGAACAAGGTCCAAAATAGTCCTGATATAGTAGTGAACTATCCACAAATGGTCCTGAACGAGTTCCAAAATGAACCCGAACTAGGCCCGCCGAAATAGTCCCGAAATGCTCACGAAATAGTCCTAACCAGGTCCCGAAACGGTCTGAACTAGTCCCGAAATGGTCGTTAAATAGTCTTGAACAGGTCATGAAACTCCTGAAAAGTTGTGAACTCGTCTCAAAATTATCTCGACCAAGTCTTGAAACGGTCCCGAAATGCTCCCTCATTAGTCCCAAAATGATTCCGAACTAGGCTCAAAATGATCCTGAATTAGTCACAAAATGAGCCCGAAATGTTCCTGAAATAGTCCTGAATTAGTCTTGAAATGGTCCAGAAGAAGTCTCCAAAATAGTCGTGAACTAGTCCCAAAATAATTCGAGGCAGGACCGGAAATGAACCCGAACTAGTCCCAAAAATTATTTCGAACAAGTTCTGAAATAGTTCTGAACAGGTTCCGAAATTATGCCGAACTCGTCCGGAAATGGTGCTGAACTAGTCGCGTTCTAGTCCCGAGACGGTCCTGAAATAGCCCTGAAATAGCCCTGAACTAGTCAAGAAATGTTCAGTTGTACACACACGAAGAAATTACAGATTTTCTTCTAGATTACACAAGAAACAGTTACAAATACTCCGCTGGGTTAACGCAAGTTTTACCCATACCCAGTGCTAAGACGTTTACACATCAACAACTTCTCTAGCATTTTCGGATAATGATACTGACATTGCGCGAAACTAAAGGACCAATAGAGAGATTAGATAAAATGACTTTGAAGAAGTTCTTCTAAGGATGGGTTTGGTTAGCTCAGATTTGAACTCAAAGTGAGCCCAGCGAACAGTGGATGGTAAACTTGTCGGCCAGTAAGACTTTCCTGCTTGTGGGTGATTTTTGCATTTTTTAGTTCCGATTTCCGATCAAAAATTAAACGATTTGCCTTAAGCTTTGGATACGTCGCTCCTGAGCTTGTCCGGCTTCCAGCAGATATCCGCAACAAATATTTTAAGTTATTGGTTTTAGATGGGAGTTGTTGAAGGCCCCTTCGATATCCAAGAATACTGCAAGACAACATATTTTGATTTATGTAGTCTCTACATTATTTCTTTTGCTATACTCCTACTGAGCAGTTTGTAGTGGAATATATATTCTTTTTGCGTTGCAAAAGGCTGCAAAGGGCGCCTTTGAGCTAACGTTGAAGAGTTCGCTGAAAACTCCAAAAGCATTTTGTACGACGAGATACGTCGACGACGATTATGAACCAGAACTGATATGGTGAGAGATTTTAAAAGCTTTTCGGGATTTGGGATTACTTCGGAATCACTTAGGGGCCGTTTTGGTACCTGTTCAAGACTATTTTAGGGCAATTTTGAGACTAATAGGGTCCATTTTGTGACCGCTTCAAGATTTTTTCGAGATCATTTCGGGAGAAGTTCACGACTTTTTCGACAATTTCGAGCCTTGTTCAGGACTATTTAGGACCATTTCAGGACTTGCCCACGCCTATTTAAGGGCAAGTTCGGGTTCATTTCGAGACTAGTTCAGGACTATGCCAAGAACATTTTCCGGACTGTTTCGGTATTATTTTGCGGCTAGTTTAGGAGAAATTAGGGACTAGTAAGGGACATTTTCAAGACTTGCTCGAGATCATTTTGGGACAAGTTCAAGACTTTTCAGAACCACTTTAGGACTACTTTAATCCAATTTTTGGTCTAGTTCGGGATAATTTCACGGTAGTACGAAACAGTCACCAATAGATCCTGAAATAGTTTGCAATGCATTAAAACGTCCAAGTTATACATACTTAGTTGGTAATACTAACTGGTGTTCTAATAGGCAGACCAGCAAATTTTTTCTTTCGCTAAATTAGAGGAATAACTCCTAACGGTTAGGGTTGATATAAGGAATCGAAAGCTCCAATCCATGTAGTTAGAAATTGATAGTCCTTTTGTCGCATACAGCGCATTGGCGATAACGTAAAGCGGTTTTAATGCAGGCCAGTGTTTACGTAACTGCGAGTGCACTCCATCTTGTTTTTAATTTTTTTATTTTTTTTATTTATAACGTTCTACCAGCAAGTGAACGATATATTAAAAAATAGAAATTGATTAATATGGCAACATTATCAAGTAATGGAAGTACCGGTTTACATTTTGGAAGCCACTGTTACTCGTTCCAATGCAACCACTTTTTTCTGTTAAAATAAATTTCTTTTAAATATTTGTGCTGTAATTGACTTATGATAAGTAATCAAACTAAAATCAATCTTTTTCTTATAAACTATAAATACACGCCTTTGAAACAAGTTCATTTTAAACTTCTGCTAGCATTTATTTTGATTTCCGGTCAATGCTACAGTGGCTCCCTAACAGTATTTAATGCAATGGTGCCAACTAAAACTGTATTGAGTTATCAGATTTGGCAGCACTGCGAATAAGAGAACAAGAGAAGGAATTGTATACGCATACCGACCCTACAAGACATTGCTGAGCACTTTAGGCAAAAACTCTCACACATTTACACTTTTGTTTTTGTAGTACGGCATAAATGAGTAGTTTGACTATTAGTACTGAGGACTTTCTGATGACAACATTGAGGGGAAAGTACTCAAATTTTTCCCATGGCCTGAACGAAAATGAGGACTTTGATAAGCACTTTTGTGATTAGGAGTAATGATAATATGAGTACTCATATGATACTCAGCTGTCTTGTAGGGGAGTGTGTAGCCTACATAATGTAGGTGTATGTGTGCACTTTTAATACTTTTGTCTACATTTCCTATTTGTTTTCATAATGGCCAGTGCTTCTTAACTTAAGTAAATATGTACATACTTATGGAAATACATATGTAAATACCTTTGTGATTGCATGCAAGCAAGCGTGTGTGAGTTTTTAATTTTTTTTTGAAAGGAAACCAGTTTTGAGTTAAAAAAAAGTCCTGTTTTAGGCAGAGAATGTAAAGGGATTGAGTAGCACACATTAACTTGTATAGATATATGCACATTAGGGTGGTCCAAAACAAGTAAAGTCGGAGCTTTTATGCTCTCACTCCCTAGGATTGTTCTATATCGAAAAGAATTTACCCTAATTTCTTTTTAATTTTAAATCAAAAAATATTTAGAGGTCGCTCAAAGTACTCAAAGTTTTCCATGTATCTTATATGGGAAAAAACAACTTTTCGTAGAAATGGTATAGAATTCTTGAAAATCAATATTTTTTCGCTAGGAAATCTCTGGTTCCCTTCAGAAGACTTCCAGTTACAATACCCTATTGTTTATTTAGCCAATTTTTAATACCAACGACTTTTTATTTATTCCCCCATTGCTTTTTCTGGAGGTTTTGGCGGACCTATAAAATATAGTTATTATTAAAAAACTGTTAAATAAATAATTGGGTCTTATTATTGGGGATCTCCTGAAGAGAAACAAAGTTTTCCGATCGAATTATATTGCTTTCCAAGAATTCTATATCATTTCTACGAAAAGTGGTTATTTCTCATATAAAATACTTGGGAAACTTTGAGCGCTTTGAGCGACCTCTAAATATTTTTTTTTATTTCAAAATAAAAAATTTGTTTTTTTTTATTTCAAAATAAAAAATTGGGGTATATTTTTTCGATATAGAACAATCTTAGGGGTTGAAGCATAAAAATTCCTACTTTACTTTTCACATGCAGTTTTGGACCTCCCTAATGCACATACAAATGTATTTTCTTTGTTTGCTATTTTTCTATGGAAAGTTAATGATTTTTATAGTTTCAAAAATGGTGAAAATTCCTTTTTTTTATTTATTTATATTTAGTTTTATTTTTGCGCATAATTTATTGTTAATCATATAAGTCTTATAAATTCAAATACTAACTTTCTTTCAAAGTGTCTCCCACACTTTGTTCCCGCTTCATAAAATCTAACCATCGACGTAAACAACCTTTCAACCGAAATTCTGCGATTCGACTTGGCCGGCTATTCAAAGCACTTTAATGCTCCTATCAGCAAAGAACTTATAAGAACTTATAATAACTTGTTATAAACTCCCTGCTTTCAGCTGCGCAACAGGTAGTCAGTCAGTCAACAAATGCTGCTGCAAGAGCAAAACAACTCAGCTCAACTCTACTCAACTCAAAGTAAAAGTCACTCAAGTGTACTGGCGCTTGACATACTATTTGTCAGTTGCCTACTTACATACATTAACCAAAAAGTATACACAGACGCATTAAAAAATCGTAAGTATGTATATGTGAATGCCCATACATATTTATGTACAGAAGTAAAAATATATGTACTATCACTTGGCCGCTAAAGGCAATAGACCGACTACGTTTACTGACACTTGAAAATTGATACCTATGTATGGATGTTTATAGACATAAATATTAACCGACATGAATTGCCTGCAAACCGATTGTATTGCCGGAGTATCATTGTTGGTAGTACTTGGTACAACAATCAAGTAGATATC